ACATTGGCGACAAGGACGTCTCTCCTGTTCACGTACAGACAATGATTTCACAACGACACGAGAAAATCATTCAACACCGGAACACAAACGCCTAAATATAAGATCTAATAATGCATTAAAAGCGCTAAAGTATATTCAATTTGGAACGAAATTTAGTAAGACTACATGTATTTGTGACCGGGTTCGCATATTGGTAAATTACGCAATTCATATTATATTTAGATTAAACATTATACAAATGTCATTATTTTTTCTTTTATATAAAAATATCATGGCTGACGCGATCGCTCTCACACTGCTATTTTTCAATGGCAAGGTCCTTTAAACGGTAAAAGTTAATAGAACAAAAACACTCATAACAATGAAAAGAAATTAAAACTTATATATTTTGCAGGATACTTATTAATTTGTGAAACATTTTAACTATCAAAATCGTATTGTAACCTGTAAAATTAAACAGTGTGCGATCGATGGCTCAGTCAAATTACACGTTAAAACTTATTACGAGACAGACAAAACATCGATCAACATGAAACCCGGTCGGGACCTTAAAATTTAAAGACAGATTTAGATGGAAATCAATTTGTACACGTGTCGGGTATTGGGGTAGTATTGTAGAACCGTCCGTTTCTCAGGCTCGTATCTCTTATATATCGAGTTATCGTAAAACACTTCCGTAAAATAACACCACAATACCCTGTGCTCGATTCTAACCTAATACCTAAAAGCTAGGGACAATAAGGTCGCAAAAGTTACAAGGATACGAAATTTCCGCACATTCATATATTTTAAACAAAGAAAAAATATAAATATATTTATAAAAAGACGATATTTAGCGACCCGTAGCACTTTTAGCCTACGCAGTCGAAATGTAGGATCAGGGGACTTTTCGAAGGAAGGTGTCCGCGAATTCAATAATTATGCGAGTCAATTTAACATAAGGAAACTTTAAATCTGTAAAATTATAAATAAACGAATAATTTTAAAACCAATCGAGCCTTTCGAACCTTTGCATCAAGCAATTTATCGTAAAAAAAAAAATTAAAGATTTAAAACAACGTTACCCGAACTTTGAAGAGCTATCGTTTGACTTTTTTCAAACAGGAAAATATCGTTGGATTGTCCCCTTTGCGACGAAAATTACATCGAAATGGTATAAATGTTTATCGTGAATACAGTTACAGAGTTTTGAATAAGTACTATTACACTGAACAATGATAGCCCGAATGGGTATAAGACATATGAAACCACCAAATATATACTAAAACTGTCGTCATGGACCAAAATACACTGTGATTTCATATCACGGCCGTCCTCCAACCAACGTTGCCGTACTATTGCATTACTTTATCCCTTGGCCGCGTAAAAAACACCAAATCACTTCCAATCCCACCGATCCAACGACGGCACGTCAGAACCTCAATTTCAAATCAAATAATCAGTTCGTGTCATAAAACGTTCAAGTGATTTGTTGTTCCCGCGGCCACAAAGGGTGACCGACCGACATAGCGAATTGCAATTATTCATGGCCTCCAGTGTATTTTGTAGCTAAGCTAGCAGCTGACAGTGTGACCGCGCCAAAAGCACCATAGGCAAGCGTTTGCATTCGCAGTTGTCTATGGCTCCACGATGGCGCGGTAAATTTAAAATGGCGACCGCGTTGCGGCCCAAGCTGTACACCCGTCACTCGATTCACGGGAACCGTTCGCAAAGACACGACGCCATGAAACGCCGGTATCGGCCGACATTTCGGCGGGAAAACCCCGTTAGGTTGTCTTCGCTCGGGCAACGGGCACGCTATACAGATTCCGTTCTGATTCCCCAAAAGCATGGCGTCGAACGACAAGCGCATGCGTTAGTCCAATACAATAAATCATTGTTTCAAATTGTTTCCTTTTTATGCGATAATGCCCATTAATTACCGTATGCTGCGGCGAAGACGCATCCGTCTCCGCTCGCGTCGGAGCCCAACTAAATGTTCCCGATAGCTACTTCGATTGGTTTATTCGGCTCGACCCGATTCACTTCTACCGTTACGAGTCCGACGCACCTATAATACCTAACAGTCTTTGGACACGTTTATCACTAAGACCCCGCTTCGAACTTTGTAAATAATCTCACCGTCTCGAAAATAATTTTCAGAGTTCATCATCGTGTTTCTCGAAAAAATCACTTGAGTTTATTAGTTTTTTTCCTCACCCAGTCTGGGTTAAATATCGTTTTGCGTTAGGGCAACAGGTTAAGAGAGATAAGTCTGCAGGAGCATTACTTTAGATCTCGTCAAATTGGCTTGTGGTTCGAACAAACGCGGATTTTCGAACGCACGCGGGACGCCTTCCGGCGTTTTGCAAGACAACAGACCGTTTATTATGAAGGTGGTGTCTTCGTTCGCTCTAAATGAAAACCGGGAACACACGCAATCCACTTGTAGTGTACCCAAGCATTGATCGCAATTCCCCAGTTTCAAAACGAACAGTCACCCACCGCTGTCAAGGTAAACGGTGCACATCGACGTTAAACTGTTTGCTGTATTCCAAACAATTAGGGACATTTAATTAGAATTTAAAAACACTCCTGCCTTTTTAACACTCTTTTATAAGCTTGATATGTATGAATGTAAAAAAAAATCTGCGAATGTGATTTTGACCTACTTCGAAACACTTTTTTAACACGGATCACTATTTGTGGCTTACAGCAAACAGGTATTCTGACGTCGATATCGATCGGTCATGCGTGGCGATTGCTTTAGTCTTAGGTCGAAACTTTCTTCGATTTTGTAAATCAACCGAAAATCGAACAACAGCGGACAGGACAGGACGGTGGAGGGGCGCCATTGCGACCCCACAACAATGACAGGGGCAGTGGGGGGGCGGGGTAAAGGAGGTTGAGGGGGAGGGGTTGAGACAGTGAACTAAAGTAATCACCACGCACTGAAAACGGCACAATTCTGCGTGTGGGAGTTCCTCATTTCGCGAGAGCCGCCACAGTTGCGCGCCACCACAGCCCGTTGGCGCGCAACTGGCTCACGCCATCAAAACAACGTTGCCTTTGTACTCACACGTTAAGTTACACACGCTACACTTAACACTACTAAATATACATAAAAATATCACAGCACTATCGATTCACTTACGCTAAAAAAACGCGCCGCCTCCGCTATGCGAACGCGACCCCGAATAAAATAATCAATAATAGTAATAATAATAATAAAAAAATTACAAAGGGGAATCGAAGAAGAAATGCACGAGGGCGCCACAGTCACACGTCCGAAGCGGTTTAAATTCCCGTCGTAAAAACTCGGCGCGGTGAGGTGGCGCCTATTTATGTAAATAAAAACACCATCTTTCGTCGCATTGTGGCAATGACACCTGTGGTTTTTAACCATAGACTTAAATAAAAAAAACAAATCTACTAGACTATCACCGACTGATTATTGTAAAACGTAAATGGTGCGAAGAATCGCTTATTATGGACATTATGAGAATTCATGTCATTAAAAACATCATTAAATTATGCCATTTATTGCAGCCCGTTCGGGATATTTTATCATTCAACATAGATTATTAATCCATGGATCATAAATACATAACAGAAAACCCCAATACTCGAATACTTGCACAAATCCATAAAGCTAAGAAATTAAAACAAAATTACTTAAGTATATTGTAAAATCATTCTTCAAAATCATCCCACGCAACTTACTTTTACTTTAGAAAGAACACATAATAGAAAATTTGATTATTATTATTAATTTTTCGTATATTATGCTGTAAACATAAGTAGGGCGCTTCTAGGTCGAGTTTATCATTAAACTTGCAGCAGTTTAACTATCTCGGATGTTTATAATTTGGCTAATAAAAATGTTCCCTATTCAAGAAATCGAAAGAGCAAATCGCTGATGGCTTCAACAAGTAAACACGAAAGTAAATAAATACGCCTCCGCGAATATCTCAACCGTGCAACAAATGTAAATAAAACAGTTAAAAACCACAGATGTTACAGTGACGCTAAGGTATCAAGAACGAGACGGTGACCATAAATTGATAAACTCTAAGCATAAAAACCGTTTGCTTTGTAGACGTGGCGTCAAACAATCAGAACAATTTCTTTGCGAAAGCTGCGCTCTAGGCGACAAACTCAAATCGAAGCGAGATTGGAAAATCAAAATTAAAAGTGCCGCGATAACCGTCCAAAATATTTACAAAGCCTGTTTGTCACCAAAAAAAAAATTAAATCAATAGAACGAGAAAATAAAGAACATCTTAAGCCTAAAAGAAATTACTTTGGAAATCATTCGACCGACCGTCCGATTAGCGATCTGTCTTGGATTCCGGTCATTAGCTGGTCTATAAACTTTCGCAATCGTAAGCCTTCCAGAGTGCTCACCGCTAGGTGGAGCTTTATATTATCTAGGCTTATAGCGATATAATCGCCAGACAAATGCGACCGGCACCGGCGACAGATTAAAAATCGAAACGCTCTTTGGGCACAGCTCCGTCCGTTAGCCGAAGGGCCAAATCGGTCGTACAGCGAAGCCGATAGCGCTTTGTGAAGCGGAGGGGCGAAACGGTAGCCGCTTTCAATAACCGTTATTAAAAGCGGCTCCTCACACATTGGTACGAAGTGCGGCCCCCGCCGCCTCTCAACCGTACGGAACAAAGAATTCACCACGAATCACACACGCGCCAAGGAAACCAACACGGCCCGCGCGAAGTTTTCACTCTGCGGGGGCGGCGCAAAGTTAATCACTTAACTAAATGAGGTAGCATCATCGTGAATATGAAATACGTAAACGTTAACCGTCTAATGTTTGGTGGGATATATGTTAAAAAATGTATATTATATCAACATTAAAAATATCTCCTATTGATTACTGAGGTACACGATCGTTACTGTATGAGGTAGCTGCGTGGGTTGGCCGTTGGCCATAACGTTATGTAGACACAATATATAACTATTACTATGTAAAAAAAAAAAAAAAAGAACGAGGAGCGCGCTCAAAATATGTCGGTGTTCATCACCGGGCCGCAGGCGTAGTCCTGGTACACCTTGGTGATGATCGGCTCCCACTTGTCGCCGTCGAAGTCGGCCGACAGGGCTGTCGCGTCGAAGCCGTCGTACTGCAGGTCGCTCCGGATCGTGAGCAGCGGGTCGATGTGGGGCAGCACGTGCTCGTCGAGGTCGATGAACCCGGAGCCGCCGGCGGACTCGGGCCCGCTGTTGAACTCGGGCCCGTACTCCAGCGGGTAGCCCGACCAGCCGCCGGGCACCGTCGCCTCCTGCGCCGATTCTGACGGGACGACGCGAGCTTAGTTACACGGTGAAACACTCGGAGAGGGTGGCTGGCGAGGGCGATGACCTGCGGCCGTACTTATAACGCCATAGCATGAGGTGAATGCCCTGCCGGCCTACTACAGGGCAATAGAATGCATTCCTCAAAATCCTTGCCAGTCGCCAACTGTAAAACAACCAGCGGTTGCTCTTGCTGTGGCAGATCTGCTTGTCCAAGGTTTTTCCAAGCGGAGGGTTCACCATATGTTTAGTGATAACCGCTGCCCATGATCATCTACAACACCTGACGGGTTGCATAGTAGTTGCCAACCTTGAACGTGGTACGTTCACGCAGTAGCCTCGACTGTTGCACGAATGGCAGGTCCGTCCGGGTTAGTACCTCGACCGAGACGAGAAGACCGGCGTCAAGTAGACGTTTACACTTCTGCATTTCGCCTGGTGAGTAAGTAGACGGGGCCCACCTTATTTAAAGGTGTTGCAAATGTCCATGGGCGGCGGTTATCACTTAACATCAGGTGAACCACCAGCTCCTTTGCAAACTTTCTCACATAAAAAAAAGTATTATACTTCCACTTCAAGCCAGTCTTCTGAGGCAATGGTGCTACTCCGGGCAAGCCTACTCATTTGTGCAACAACAAAAACTGCAGATTGGCACTGTTTTTTTTAATAATTAATATTATTTGTGATCGTAACATATTTATATTATAGCACAAATAATATTTATTAATTACGTTGTTCGCTACATCAATCTAAAATTATTTACAAACTGTAGTACACTTATTTACTTCAAATAATCTAAATGATTATAAATTACAAAGAATCTAAATCTATATTCTGTAAAAAAACTAATAATTCTTTTTGTTATTTCAGTAATATTTTTGGGTAAAAAACATTGTACTCAAAATATTTCTAACTAGAACTTTTTGGATAGAAACAAATATTCTTTAACATATATTTCAATAAAAATGTATAAACACTCACCAGAAACAAACAGGGTATTGTTCAGTGGCAGGACATGGGTGCCCATGTTAGTGGAAGCTTCAAATATCTGCAACTCTTTCTCTATGACTGTTGGGTCAATGCTGACAGATTCCATTGTACTGTCGTCGGTTTCTGAATATTTGTATGCTTGCTCTTTAGTCTCTGGGACGTTGATTGTGAAATTATCCTCGTTTTTAACAAGTTCGGTATCGAAAATTACAGTGCTCTCCTTCGAGCTGCTAGCATCTGTTGAGTTTTCACTAATGCCATCGTTGGCTGCTTCGGAAAGCGTCTTTCTTATATCCTTCCCATCAATGTTATGCATTCTACGCAAATGTTTATGCAGATTTGGGTAGCTGGCGAACGTCTTCGGGCATGCGACACATTTGTATGGCTTCACACCGGTGTGGGTGTTCAGATGTTGCTCCAGGTGGCTGAGTTTTATGAATCCCTTACCGCAATGGGTGCAGGTGTGCGTCTTCACGTCTGAGTGGACCTTGATGTGCTGTACTAGACGGTTCTTGGCGTTGTATATCTTTCCGCATACCTTGCAGATGTGCACGACCGTTTCAAAGTGCTTGGAAACGTGTTTTATCACCAGATGCTTTTCCCCGTAGCAGCGGCCGCAGACTGGGCACGAGTAGGTCTTTTTACGGTGCACGTCCAGGTGTTTCTCGCAGGAGGACAGTGTGGTAAACAGCAGCCCGCACTGACGGCACCAGTTCTGCGCGGCGTCGTGGTGGCGTTGGTGGAAGGTCAGCTCTTTTGGTGTTTCAAAACTGAAACAATATAATTCATTAGCTTATTATTGACAACTTTCTATTACAAAAATGGCACAAGAGTAGTAAGGGTAGTAGACGCAACTAAATTAATTGCATGGACAGTGAAAATGCCCATGTACATTTTAAAGGCCTGAAGATAGTTACAGAACCTGAAATTTCATTAAAACAGCAGCAAATAGGCATCCTATTGCCTCGATTATTCAATAAATATTTAGGTAAAATATTTCATATAAAAAATAAACAATTATTATCAAAATATTATTATTAATTCATGACCAATATAATACTCACTTTAACATAGTAATGAAATAATAATTAATTAAAGAAACTACTACTACTAAAAGATTTTAGGTGTATCACAGCCTCATCACATGTTACTAACTGTAAATGACTCCATGGCTCAGTTTCCATTCGTCATCATTGCAATTCCAACACAAGTATTGAGATGACAGCTGATAGAGGAAAGTGGAAGGAAAGGACATGTTATGCCGACCTCACCTAGTGTGGAATGGTGAAAGGAGACAATCTAGATATGTAACTACCCCACAATAGTTTACAAACACTCACATTCTCTCGCAGCCCTCCCTGGGGCACTGCACGCAAGTGATGTGGTGCTGTTCACGGAGGTGCACCCGCAGTGCCCTTAGGGTTGCAACACGATGTTCACAGCGGGGACATGCGAAGGGCTTCGATCCAGTTAAGCCTCCGCCGTGGTAGGCCTCCGTGTGCGTCGCGAGCAGAGACAGGCGGGGGAAGGCCTTGCAGCACTGGTCGCACCTGGAACATCGGACGCAATCAAGACATGTGGCACAAAACGGAAATTAAAAAAAGTTATATATTTTTCCAGAACACCAGACCAGATTATGTTTGTATGATGACCAGAATATCTGAATACACTTCAATTTCGTACATAATATCGCAAGTTCAATATCCCAGAAAGTACACCACCAATGTCAGCATGAATTTAAGCAATGTAACTGAAAAAAATTTACCAAAATATTTGACTCTAATACCTATAGAAGTAGAAATCGATTTATTTTATTTTATTGGGGATAACAAACAGCTACAATATACAGGGAGATTTATTGAGAAGTGCCCAAATTTACACAGGAGGTTCATACTCGTTTATTGAAATAAAAAATAAAGTTTTTTTTTCCAAAAAAATTCCATTCTATTCCCTAAAAAACAGAACATGTTGACAATGCAGTAGTCATTCATAAATACCTAAATTTTATAGTACTAACTTGTGTGTGTGTTAGTTATGAATGATCGCGCGTAAAATAAATGAGTTGCGTATAAATCGCGCACTTTTTGAGATAAGGTCAAATGAATGTAATTAATTACTTACAAGTGATTTTAAATATTTATCATTTTTTTATATAACATTATTTATGTCTAGAATTTAATAAAAAAAAAAAATAGATACACTTAGAAACGCCACCTTGTATGATATAAACAGATCTGTTGCATTGATGTAGTAATAATATTGCAGCCCACTACATTATCCATGTATTAAACATACAATATTATTTTAATAGAAGCTACTAGATATGTTACAATAAAAAAAAATACAATTAATATATAGCATAAAGATTTAAAAAAAGAAACACTTCAAAAATACATAATTATTAAAAGTAGTCATTATTATGATTGTGTGTTAGGTGTTGTCATTAAAAGCGAGGCAAATATGCATACTTACTCAAATCTGTTTTTCATGAAATGATTGTAACAGTGATTGCCGAAAACTGAGTACTTATCAAATTGCTTTTTGCATTCGTTGCATGTGTAGACTATGTCTTGGCATCCATGCTTCAGTGAAAAATGTGCATCAAAGTTTATGCGGTTCCTGTGCACAGTGGAGCAAATGCAGCAAAGTATTCCACCAAGCTTTTCAATGAAATCATCATCTGGTGTATCCTCTACTTCTAGGCTGATTTCATGTTTAATCTCATCACCAAAATGCTTCTTCAGGTGTTCAAATGCTGATTGTTTGTTTGGACTTGTCTCGCTGCAGATGGGACATGAGTATGTAAAGGATGAGTGAAGATCAATGTGATATTCGCACCCATCCAAACTATTGATTTGCCGTTCACATGACTGGCAATTGTATGGTGGATTATCGCTATTGTTGTGAATGATCTGGTGAATCTGTAGTTCTTTTTTCGATTGGAATCTGTAAACAATCAATTGTTTTAAATCAAAATGTTATCAGACCTCAAATTATAATAGATCTACCTATAAGGATAGAGTAAAGACTAATGGCAATTTAGCAATTCAATTTTGAACTGTTGTTGACTGATAGTAATTGTTATTTGTGAAAGCCAATTCCAAAAGTCTTCAGGCAAAATTAAAGCATAAAACTATGTAGTCAATACAATTAGCAACCATCTTTTCTATTCTGATTGATGCCAGGTTAATGGACCAACTACTACTAAGCTGAGATGAGAGCTATAAGCATGTGGACTGTTTTTAAATGAAAGTACAAGATACTTTAAATAATATTGTCTACAATCATATGCACTACTCACTCTTTGCTACATGAGGTGCATTTGAACTTATGCTTTATATCAATATGATCTTTTAGGACTGTCAATTTTGAAAATTGTTTGTCACAGTGGTCACATCTGAAAATTTAAAAATCCATTAAAATATTAATTATACACTTTTATGTGACAACTGTCAAAGAAAAATAAAATTTTCAATTTAATTTTCCCATAAAGAAACTCACTTAAATTTATCTTTTATTACATGACTAGTGTAGCAGTGGCCTCGGAAGCTAGGATAGCCAGTAATGCTTTTATGACATACAACACATGTGTATACTATGCCTTTGCCATCAGTGTTATGTTGCATATAATGTACATCAAAGTCTTTTTTGTTTCCAAAAGTTGTCTGGCAAATATGACAGTTAATACCGCCAACTAAATCAATGGTTGTGAGCTTTCTGCTCAAAATTGTGGCTGTGAATGAATTTTCAGGGTTCTCATGGGATATATCCAAATAGGTGGGTGAAGCCATTGTTTTGTGTCTAAGTGTGATCCATTTATTTCAATTATCTACTTCTATGTCAAATGGATGTCCATATTATGGCTATTGCAAACATTGTTGTTTTTTTCCTGTTTGAAACTACATTTTTTGTTGGTTTGTTTTGGCCTGAAAATAATTGAAAATACATGAGTGAAATTTATACAATTATTTCTAATATTGCAAACTAGTCATTAAGAATGTTAATGGATTAATATCGATACATTTCCTAGGCAATTTAAAATTATTACACCAATCACGGCACACGAATTACAAGGTCAAACTTCATTCATAAAGCTGCAATAATAATTTATATCAGTAAAAGCAAAACAACTTCATTAAGCTGTTTTTATTCATCATAGCGATAAAGAAATACAAATGAATGGAGTTCATAGGTTTGATTGATAAAAATATGAGAAAAATGAAGCAGACATCGTGTAGATTTCCGCTGTGCGCGACCTTGGGTGCAAAACTGTGCATACGAATTAATGCGCTTCAGGCATTCAATTATATAACTTTTTTAGATATGTATGTTATTAAATATAAAATTTCCATTTCCGACCTAATGCCTGTTCATACACCGATATCGATTTTTGTGAAAAACATTGACATCGTTAATTTCTTGGTAGGCAAATTTCTTGCGCAAAGCAAATAAAGATTTTTAAGTAGATTCATCAATAATACTTACAATATTGGATGAAAACTTATGGGTGAACATCGGACATAATTCCTACGTTACATTTTACATCACAACAGACGAAATAAAGGATAAACTGTAAAAAATGGAACGCCGGACGACAAACAACGCCAAGAAAACGTGTGAATTTTGCATTTGACAGCTGTGTGAGTTTTACGTACATATAAGTGTGTGCGACAAAAATCGATTTTAAACCGGTTACACATTTAAAAATGAACAGGATGATTTATGTTACTTTGTAGATAAAGCCCAAATTAATGTTAATAATACTATTATTATTGATAAAATGAGTTTTAAAAGCATCATTATCACAACTGTTTATAAAATATATAACAGTAATACAAAAAAGTTTAAATCTTTTATAGGCATTAACTTAAAAATGTTCATAAACTATCACATTGCAGGAAAATATTGGATAAATATTTCATTTAAATGAAGAGCATGTTGAATGAATGAGAAAAGGTTAAAGGAACTTAAATTCTAGGTTAAACTATAATTTATACATACATGTGGTGTATAACTAATAAAAAAAGACCTTAAAAATTATCTGAAATTACCCATTAAAAATAACTTTATATTTTCATTTAATATTATTATTAGAATGACCTGAGTTATCGTGGAATTTGACTAAATTTAATTATGAAATCTTACTAAGAATATAATATAAAATATAAAAAATATTAATAAATTTTACACTTTTGATTTCAACATAAAATCACTAATTTGAAATTTTGTCGTAGCCATTACACATTTAAATAGTTATCATTATCAATAACACACGTCAAATCAATATGCTATGACGTTTTCAATTTTCATTAATAAATATTTTCTCAGTTAATTAAAATGCTTAAATATTAAATATTCAGAAAATATCTAAGTGCTTCTCAATTGTAAATAATAATTATATCTAACTCCATGTTATTAAACGATGAGGGGAGATTGATATACAAAAAAAATATACTTTAAGGTAAGTACGGTATTTACAAATTGATCTAATGGGCTGTTACACGTCAATATTTATAGGAAATAACATTATCTTTTATATGATTAGAACTTTTTACGTTTCTATATATTTTAAATGAATTACGCATTTCATTATCATTATATTTTAATGCAACAATAATAATAATAATTGTATATTTTGCGTCATGCTCACAACGAAATATACACAATAAGTATGATTATGTCTATTTGATACTTCTTCATTCGATTATATTGCTCTGTTTTGTAATCAACAGCTGTATTGGCTTGGCGCCAAAAGACTAAAAATAAATCGTGTTTGACGTTCACATATTTCACAAGTCAATCCCATTTCTTATGATAGATTTATAGTTGATATTAGTAATAATGGAACGCCAACAACATTTAAGTCTCCATGGATCCTTTAGAAGTAAAGATTCCTCCTCAACTACTGGAAGTGACCCAAGAGAGAAAATAAAAGACTGCCTTAGAAAGTTCATTGCTTTTATGTTTACACAAGTGGGTGTTGGTGCTCTTGTTGTTTGCTATGCGATATTAGGCGCAGCTAGTTTTATGCACATAGAAAAGGACAATCCAGATGAACAGTTAGAGAACATTAAACAGTGGAGGAAGAGTTGTGCAGAGGAACTATGGGACATTACTGTTAATAACAATATATTCAATGAGAGTGCTTGGGAGCAGAAGATAAACAAAGTATTGAAGGTTTATCAAAGCAATATTACGGCTGCTGTCCACACTGGTTACAATGGTCGGTCTGCGGAAGACATCTGGTCTTTTCCTGCTGCACTTATGTATTCATTGTCAGTATTTACGATGATTGGTTATGGAAACATTGTGCCTAAAACTGTTTGGGGTAAAATTGTCACTATAGCATATGCTTGTTTTGGCATCCCAATATATGTTCTGTACTTCTGTAATATGGGAAAAGTGCTTGCCCAGTCATTCAAGTGGCTGTACATAACAGCTCATGAATGCAGCAGAAGAGAAGATACACTATTTGAAGAGGGAGAAATTCAGCCGATCAAAAGAAAAATCACAGTACCCTCAACTGCTTGCTTATGGGTCATATCATTTTATATTTTGACTGGGACAATTATGTTTGGAGCATGGGAGAAGTGGAACTATTTGGATTCAACCTATTTCTGCGTTATCAGCCTGTGCAAGATTGGTTTTGGGGACTTCGTTCCAGGTGCTAATATTTCAGACTCAGCTGGAGGTTCCCATTTGAAATTAGTCATCAATTTCATTTATGTCCTACTCGGCATGGGTCTAGTAGCTATGTGCTATAACCTTATGTGTGAAGATGTACGAGTTAAAGTCAGAGAACTGAGGGAAGACCTGAAAAATTGTTTAGATGACATCACATTGAAGATTACTGTCTGCATGAATGACACAAAATACTATCATCAAAAGCAAACAAGGCATATCAAGTGATGTGAAATTGTTTCTCTAGGAAAAGTTTTTACTAAACAGCTATTATATCAGTGGTTGAGTTAAAAGAGAATCTTTGCTTGGTTGACTATTGTGTTAAAAAGTATTAAAGTATTCATGTGAATAGTCCTAAGATAACAGTATTATTAATAATTGAATATTTTATATTATTGCCAAAAAATTGTAAATATTAATTGTGCTTGTATTTTAACCAGTTAATAGAATCTCATAATCTATGGAGGTTAGATTTCCAGTGTATCATGAATTTTAAATGGGAAATCCTAAGAGTAACATCCAAGTTATGAGTTATGTTGTTGTTAAATGTTCAAATATCCCATCATTTCAATTTGATATTGTTTAGATTTCTAGATATTGTTTACATTTGTCATAAGGATAGATTAATAAAGTCAAAGTTATAAAGCCTTCACTTTGACTATTGTGTCAATAATTTTGCCTGCAAACCCAAAGTTGCTGCATAGTTCATTCTCGAGAGTGTAAAGTATGGATAGTATTTATTCATCATCATTATCAATCTTAATTATTTCATCATTTTGGTTTCCAATCAGAAATATTGAATAAATAAGTAGAGAAAAAGTGTTATGTATCTTGAGCCGCTATATGTCAAACTTCACCAACTTGATCTCTCAATGCTGACATGAATGAAATAGTAAATTGCCATTTTTGGAGCTCATTTACCTCATGCTTAGAGGAGAAGAAAAACATATTGAGGAACACTATATACATAAGAAATTAACAAAAAATATTCCAAAGATTTGTGAAGACTGCCAATTTGCAGGCTTTGTACGACAATTTTTTTATTATGTTAACAAACTTCCTCTACAGACTCGTGGTCCACTCTTTTTTAATTAGCATTCTCATCTTATTTTCTTTTTGTGCTGTCACCGCCATGTACCTCAACCGGACTGGTAACGGTGCAGCAGCAGTTCATATTTATTGTATTTTTTTAATATAATAATTAATTTATAAATATATATATTTTGGATATGTTTATACTAAACAATTTGTAAATATTAAATGTTTAAAAACAGACACTACCTTATATTTATTAAAAATTCAATCATTGCGTCCTTAAAACAATAAAAAAAATGTTTAAGTAGCTCTCCTCTTTTACATACTCTGCATGGAAAGAAAAATGTTACCAAAGCGAAAAAATAATTTTAATGTTACTATTACTTTGTTCAAAAAATAATATAATGTAATAAAGTTTAAGTTTTGTTAAATAATTAGCAAGGAGCAATTTTTGTCAGTTTTGAAGCAGTGTACATTTATTTAATTCTTACTTTCTTACTAATATTATAAACGCGAAAGTTTGTATAATGGATGGATGTTTGTTACTCTTTCACGCAAATACTACTAAATGGATTTTAATAAAACTTTACAATAATATAGCTTATACATCAGAATAAGACATAGGCTCTAATTTATATACATATTTTATATACATATTTTATGTATATCTGCCTTTCTGTCTGAATGTTACCCCTTCAGCCTATTCTACGCAGACGTAGTCGCGGGCAGCAGCTAGTGAGAAGAATAGTTACAGTTCCTAACGCAAGTACATAGTGTTCCTTTCGCTTAGTAAACAAGTATTTTTGTTTGTTTTTCCTTTAATAAAGTAAAAGCTAACACCCAGTTTCCGAAAGCGCAATCAATTTTAATTTACGATAAATCTCTTGTCAAACGTTGTTTAACATGATCTGAGTTGCTAGAACGTCAGAAAACAACATTGATTTTGATTTGCAATTAGTCACTGATTAACGGACAATCAACAGAAAATCGAGTTTCTGAAAGCGTTTTTCGGTGGTCAACGAGCTGTCAAAAGTTTTATTAAGTAATCTGTCAATTTGGACGATCAATCGTTGGTTAAAAATGTATTTTATCAAAAATCTTAGTTTTTATTAGAAATAAACATAATTCCCTAATACGTTATAAGGAAATTCATGTGTTCTATTACCTATTTATTATTTATTATTATGCGAACATATCATGCGATTAGAAAAAATAGAAAATGCAATTCAAAATTTAATGAATAATATGGATTCTTTCTTTTTTTAATACTTACTTGTTTATTATGGATAAAAGTTCATTTTTTTCACGTTCTGTAATGTTTATTCTTGACATTTCGCATGTATTTATATATATTGTTAATAAATAAATTAAATTTTATTATAAGTAGCTCGGATTTTTACGTTGGCAATCACACGGTGACAGGACTGGATAGTGGCGTTAATTTAAGTTTTGTTTAAAAAGGGAAAGCTATACAATAGAAAGAGTTAGTTGAAGTAAATCATTCATTTCATTCATTATATTCATTATCGTTGGTTATACAGTGATTAGCTAATTTTTCTTGAACAAACCTTTCAGAAACCCAAGGCAGTTTAACAAGAGATTAACAGCTGATCATTTTTGACATAGTGTTATGTGATTGCTGCTTTGATAGGCCTTTCGGAAACTGGCCATAAGTGTGTATCCCTTACGGTTTCTTGCGAAATACGCCCTTATTCCACGTATGTACGTAATATTGTTAGGACCACGCAACATTTCGCTGTTAAGACGAAAGTACGTAATGAAGATCAAAATCATTTATTCATTGACATAAGAAACTTACATTTCATCTATCCAGTCATTCTTTTTTAAATCTACCACCGTTTCGTAATGAGGTTCCTCTAGCGGAGAAGAAACAGTCGAAAGAAACTCCGTAGGTATCCTCTTTTTTGTAATTCATTTTTTTTTCTTCAAAAAAAATTAAAATATACAACTGATTTTTTTCCTTTTAGAAATAGCTTGGGAGCGATCAACTCATTCCCAGGGGTTATTGTCATTAATGTCAAAAGTGGCAGAGCATATGTAACCCATGCAAATGTCCATGGGCGGCGGTTATCACTTAACATCAGGCGAACCACCAGCTCGCTTGCTACCTTCTCGCATAAAAAAAAACTCCGCGGTAATCACATTCCGTTACACTCTTATTAGTGTAGTAGGATTGAAGTTGAGACGTTGAACTAGCCAATTCAAACGATGAGGTCGGAACCTCGGCCACGTACGCATTGCCAGACCGGAGTACGCAAGCATTATCGCCCGTAAAAACTGAGCCGCCAATTGAGGTACAAGTAGCCCACTGCTGGGCAAAAGCCTCTGTCCCACTCCAATCCACTGTGTATTTTCACATATCTCATACATATATTTTTGTTATTATTTCGAAAATATGCATATTTCCTCGTGATTTTTTCCTTCACCGCCTAGCACGTGATAAGTTAGCAATTAAGATTGTAGTTAACAGTTAAAAGCGGATGCCCGGAGACTGAGCTATCACGGCTAATTAATGCAGGCAGTGCATAAATAATTAGAATGTCCCTTGTGTCTATTCTCGTATCTATCGAACTTAATCCTGCCCAAAACATAAACCTTTCGCCATGATGTGTAATTTCCTGAAAACGTGCTTCTGCATAGCGTTCTCCTATAGTTCTAAATCGCATCATTATCATATCCCAAACTTTTTAAGGCCATGACACAAGATTTAGGGTGAACCTAAGCCTGTGGCGCGTCAAGCCAGTTAATTTGCAATTTCTTCGAGGTTCTTCTTGAAGTGTACATATTAATATTTGCGAAGACTCAATGTGTGATAGAAAACGATTGTTTTCTGCAGTGGCTTGCTTCCAGCCCCAGACCTCTTGACGAAAATGGTCCCTTAATAGCGCTGGCAGTTTGGCACCTTCTTCGTAATTGGACTGCCGAACAACTTTAATCTTGGCCTCTCAGCCACGAGCAGTTTTTGCCGTCAAAATATGTACAGGAAGTGATGTAATACATTAAAAATTGTCTAAAACTATTTTAGAGCCGATATTAACATTCGGAATGTTTTTCGCGCCAAAAAATACAGTGAAAAGTTGTTTCCTTTTTTACGTCCTTTTTTACACAATAGACATTTTAAAAACTTTTTCTTTTTGTATTATTTCATACAAGAAAAAATCTAAGCTTTTTTTGTAAACGCATGTGTAGTGTATTATAGTGTCTCGTTCCGACCATAGATAATAGTGAGCATTTTCAAACTGCAGCGATGTGCGCGACATAGGTTCGGCGATGCGGCCTTTGCGCCTGCGGCGCGTGGTGGGGCTGGAGGGGCGCGCCAACGACGTGCTGTTCTGCCCCGCCACGCGCCCCGCCCCTAAGCAGGACGCCCTCATATTCTTCGGCGGTGACGTGCAGGTATACCCGCAATTTGGTTTTCTGGCGGTATTTTTGTATGTATGTCTAGGGCGCATCGCTACTAATGTGGAGTAAACAGCGAGTTCGAACAGTTTTTTTTTTCTGCGTCTACATTATGCCTGGTATGTGAGAAGGAAGTGTATTTATTAGAAGGTTACACCAACAAATTTAGCTAGTTTAGCTTTAACTGCGGTAGGGCCACGCGTGTTCGCTGTGGCACGAATGGGCAGGTCCGTCACGACCTCACAGAAGACCGACATGAAGTAGAAGTGTGGTGCGTTTCGTCTGATGACTTTACTGTATTAAAAGATGATAACGCATCTACAACTGCATTGCAAATTTCCATAGACGGTGGTTATCAATTAATATCAGGTGAACTGCCAACTCGTTTGCCACTTTGTTTCATAAAAAAAAAACAATGACTGCATAACTGAAACTCGAAGATCATGAAATAAAGTCACTGTCTGCGAAACCATCGGAGGATGCTATCGGTACTGGGTTTTGCGCCTATAAGTCAAATAACCAGCTCCATTCGTAATCGAATGGTAATATTCCGGAGCCCTTGATTGATCACCTCGTAATGATTAAGTTAAAAATTAAAACTTGCATTTAAATTGAACACAGAAAAGAGTACGTAAACAGGATCGCTTTGTTGTCTGTCGGCCACACAGGACTACCCCGAGGTAATGCAAGCGCACCGCGACTACCGCAACTATCTGAAGTACAACCTGGAGAACACAGCTCGAATGCTGGGCCAGAGCTTCCCCACCAAACACGTGCTGGTGGTGAGGCCATCTAGGTGAGTGCTCTTGGTGCTTGACGGTATGTGAAATACGCCTGGAATATCTTTAAGAAGTAGTGTTGTCATTGACCGATATAGTAAATACAAGTGGTAAATAACCTAACCTAATCTAGTTATCGGTAAGACGTATTGGCCTTGACCGATATATAGCAACAGGATTGGTCCTTCGGACCAGAATAATTCCCAAATGCGGACCTTGATGACCTGGACAAAAGAGAAAAGGAAGAAGGGATATAAAATTCGTGGTGATTCATAAAAATTCATAACGCAGTAGTGGTCGACCCACTGCAGCATCATCAATTTTTTTATTTAAATTTTATACGTGTTGATTATATTAATAAATAGAAATAAAAAAGAGAATCGAAAATTTGTGTGATAACTTCGAAACACTAAAGCAAACAATGTTAGCATACAGTTGTATGACTTGATGCGTTATCGTTTTTAAGTAAAAAAATCCAAATTAAGCTGATTGATTTTTGTCCGACGATTTTAGTCTCTGCACTCGAGATGAATTTTAAAATGGAAATTTTTGTAAATGGTCAAAATTTTCGACGCCGCGGGTTTTGCAGTCTGTGTCGCGCCCGAATGACGCGCCCTGACGCTTTAGTCCAAACTTTCCTACCCTCTTTTTCCTTCCAAAACGCGCCACAAAATGTGTACCACAGGTGAGATGGTAACATTTACCGAATTCAAATATCTTTATTCAATAAAGAAGCATTACACTCACTTATTGAATGTAAAAAAAACACTCGAGGTTCGAAAAAAAAGCCACTGACCTGAGAAGGACCGGCGAAAGAAACTGAGCGGGACAATTTTTTAAACATAATGTGACAAAAAAAATAGCAAACATGTAATATACATTAAGATTTGTAGATTTGTAGATTTGTTTTTAAAGTACGAAAATATTGTCGCCGCTGTGGGAATCGAACCCACGTCTTCGGCATTCGCGGCCTGACGCTTTAGGCACTAAGCTAAACGGCTGATTGCCACACCAACGAAAATCTTAACGTCTTTTATCTACTTGTGTAATATACAGTATATTATGATCCACTTGAAAGAGCCCGGAGCGATCAATTCATTTCCAGAGTGTGTTGATGTCGCCTTTTGAATACCGCAGGATAGAGTACAAGAGCTTCAGTTGCTACGACAACTTTGTGCCGAGCAACAACGCGGGCGTGCCCGACCACACGCCCACGCACAGCGCCCTCCTGCACCTAGAGAGGTAACGTCTAGGGATGTGGAAAGTGAAGACACATCGATATATCGATATGTCGATGTGTTGATATTTATAACAATATCAATATCGGCCTCGAAATATCGAAGAAAAGTATCGATATATCGGATACAATCCTAGAAACCCTTTTGTACAAAAAGAAAGGTGTGGTCAACAATTCGAAAATAACGTTTTTGATACGATTTTCGATATTGAATACTTTGTATAGGATCCAAATGTATCGGCTGAAAATATCAATTTATCTCTGAAATTAGATCTTCCTGCAGGTTGCTACAGGGGGCCAGCAGTAGACTAAAGACGCTCTCTGCTTCGGAGATAACGGAGGCTGCTAACGCGTCTTCGCTACCCGAAGAAGATGACCCCGAAGACCCTTTGTATGTGAGTAAATTATTGATCAAATTGGTACAGAAAGTGTCTGTACCAGATCTGCGGTATTTAACTGGCAGGCCCACGCAGCAGCCTCGGCTGTTGCACGAATGGGCAGGCCCGTCCGGGTAAGTGCCACGACCTCACAGAAGACCGGCGTCAAGTGGAAGTAGCATACTTCAGAGTTCGTATGGTGAGTGAATCATAGAAATATTTGCTCTTAATTTAATACAAAGCTTGTGTTATATAACCTTAGTTAGGCACGAATGAAATCTTGTAATAAATAAAAATGAATGTTCGTAAGCGCATAAGTCAAGAATGGCTGGATTAATTCGGCTAATTTATTTCTTTGTATGTGCCTGAAGGTTTAATACTATAAAAAAGTCGAAAAAGAAGTCTGCCCGTACAGCTAGTTGTTGATAAAATTAATTGCTACCATATTACCAGTTTCTGCACCTTTGAGAAATCAATGAAATACGTGAAATCGGGCTCTCTTCGGGGGCTGAAGAGTTTCTCAACAGGGGCACTTTAACATGCACAGTAATCAATGCCTTGAGATTTTTATATCGTCACTTGTACAAACCCACACATAATTTCTTATTTTTTGTTACACATGAGAATTGGCTATATCTATTTATTTATTTGGGAAACATACAGTATACACCGCACTTATAGTTATCAAAATATCTTGTACAAATACCACTTAAGTTTCCTCTAATAGGAAAATCATAAATGAACAGAAATTAAAAAAAAAAAAAAAACAATTACAACCTAAACAATATAAAAGAGTTATAATAAACAATAACAACAACAACATATCGGCGTATCACCAGAGATATATGTAGGAGAGCTCTTGTGTTTTGTAGGGGGCAACGCAGTGCGAAATCTCAGAGCCCAGCTCCAACGGCGCCGGCGCGTCAGAACACAAGCCGTGAGTAGGTTTAGTTCCAATGGATGTTGTGCTATTTACTTAACCGATTAACCACTTTCAGAGCCGTGATAGCTCCGTGTCCTTAATTCAATATACTCGAGCAACCCGAGTTCGATCCCCGGTGCCGGCACCGATGGAGTGTTTAATTTAAAAACAAAAAAAAGAAAACGAAAAAAAAGTCCCGCTGAGTTTCTTTCGCCGGTTCCTCTCAGCGTTTTGACGATCAATAAGAAAGTGTAATGCTCCTATATTGAATGAAGGCATTCGATTTTGATTTTGTTTTTGAATTTTAAATGCTGAATTGTCACGTGCTAACGGCGAAGGATAACCTGTATATTTTCGAAAAAAAAAAAATTGAAGACATGTGAAGTCCGCCAGTCCGCAGTGGGGCCGCGTGGTTGACTATGCCCCGATGGCCGCTGTACAGAGGAGGCCTTTGCCCAGCCGTGGGACATGTATAGGCTGATACTTTACCCACTCACATTTATGCGGAGGTCTCTGTCTTCTCAAAAGTTGCATCACCTATGATGCAGCCTTTCGCATGCTCTAAGATTAAACGATAATAAATCTCTGTGGTAGGGCCAAGCAACTTCGGCCGTTGCAAGAATGGGCAGACTCGTCCATGAAAGGAGATCAGTTATTTTTTAAATGATAACACACCCTGGAAATGAATCGATCGTTCCAGGCTCGTTCAAGAGGACTTTAATACATTGTAAACATGTTACTTCGTCAAATAATGCTACAAAAAATGTCCCTCTGTCTGGTTGGTGGCTTTTTTTCCGAACTGGTATCATAATGGTGATTATAATTATTAATTGATGGTCAAAATGGTACCACTTTATTGAGCTATATTGAATAAAGATATTTGAATTGAAAGGATTGTTTTTTAGTGTTTCGTCTGGTGTGTTATTATGTACTGAGGTAATTGGGGCATACTTTTTGAACGTTGGCAACACACGTGCAACCCTTAAGGCGTTGCAGATATCCATGTGCGGCGGTAATCACTGTTAACATCAGGTGAATCGTGATGTCCGCTGTTTTTGCCAATTTTTCAACCGACTTAAAAACAAGGAGAAAGTTCTCGATCCGACTGTATTTTTTTTTATGTTTGTCACCTCAGAACTTTCTACTGAGTAAACCGATTTTGACGATTCTTTTCTTATTTCAAAGCTAGTGCTTTCCACGTGGTCCCATATTGATTTCATTGGTATTGGACCTTGGGCTCCGGAGATACTAAGATAACTCCTGAAAGTCAATTATAAAATGAATACATAGCGAGATATGAAGTTGATTTGTTTTTCGTTAATAAAAAATGGACTTGTATCTTCGTATCTCTTGTATCTTTCGTTTATGTAAAACAAGTGTAATTTTTAACAAAAAAAAACCTACTTCAATCGGAAAATTAAAAACGTTGTTAATAAATATAACAATCAATGATTGACCTCGATGTCTCTGGGATGCCATCGTCAGATCCGGGTTTCCTTACCATGGTACCAACCTTGGGATATCACCTTTCCGACAAAAAAAGAATCATCAAAATCGGCTCATAAACGAAGAAGTTGTCTGCGAACGCACATAAAAAACCTCCTCCTTTTTTGAAGTCGGTAAAAAAATGTTTCAAACTTTCATCGCAACTAATTAGAGAAACGTGTTCCTCAAAACATTTTTGTATTCTATCGGGTATGCATGTATATGTTGTGAAACGTTCCTCAAAACTGATATGAGAAACACGTTTATATATCGTATGTATTATAATTTACATCAATGTTGCATCGGTTCCCAGCGAGCCGCTGTGGTGGCGCAAGGAGCTCTCCCTGGACAAGTGTCGTCTGACCCTGATGGGCTTCAGCAAGGGTTGCGTGGTGCTCAACCAGCTCATATACGAATTCCACTACACCAAAACCCTCACACCGGGGGACGAGCACATGATGAGGTGATTATATTATAGGCTAAGTACTTAATAATAAAAACCGGCCAAGTGCGAGCCGGACTCGCGCACGAATTCCATTCTATACCAACGGCAAAAAAAAATCATGTCATATATTTTCTCATTCTGTTGTGGTATTTGTTGTTATAGCGGCAACAGAAATACATACATACATCTGCGAAAATTTAATATGTCTAACTATCAGGGTTCATGTTCATGTATATTCATTGTTTCATGTATATTAGCTTAATTATCTTACACAATATTTAAAATTGACCGTTTTCAGAGACTTGCTTTAGTTGTAGCTAACTTGCTTCCTGTCAAATTTCACTACTAAAGCTGAAAGGGAAATGCTATTGGTTTTAATGACTGAGTTTGCCAATATTCGAATATGTGATATAAATGCAATTATGTCCTCATTATATTTGCTTGATGCTTGAATTTTTCTAAGCAAGAGCTTAAGACTCTAGTTCACCTAGATACCTCCACTCTACTCTACTCTACTACTCTACTTCCACTTCCACTTCTACTCTACTCCAAATCCTTTTCTGTCGAAGCGGTCAGGCTTTGGAACTCCTTACCGCTTCAAATCCGGCAAGCACAATCACTGATAATATTTAAAAGACTCGTTAAAGCTCACTTTTTTCCTCCCTAAACATCTTATCTCCATATTATGATTTTATGTGTATAGATTGTTACATTTTTACCAACAATTCTCCGACTCTTTTATTTATAGGTTTCTAACGTAGATACAACTAGTTAAATTCACATAATCCTCCTATAGTATAGAAATATACCAAAGATAATACGACCCCAATGGCGTAGTAGGTAGTGTACCTGCCTTCTGCGCCATAGGGTGTGGGTTCGAACCCACTACTGGAAAAATATTGTGTGATGAATATCATAGTTTTTTTCTAGTGTCTGGGTGTTTGTATATGTATAATATGTATTTATTTACAAAAGAAAATTATGTTTAAGTATGTTTATCTATCTAGTTATCTAGTACCCATAGTACAAGCGTTGCTTAATTTGGGACTAGAGAATGTTGTGTAAAAATGTGTCCTAAAATATTTATTTATATAATTATAATTTTATCTTAAAAGCCTTGGAATAGCTAAACAAAGAAGACTTTGTTGATTTCTTTCTTATGTCCAAGTTTTAGTTACTGTTCAATTTTGGGTTTTAGTGACAATTATTTGTTGTTTGAATTGTTTAGTTTTTATAAAGAGAAATGTTCAAAAGCAATTATTTTTTTCTGTTCTAATTCTACAACATATTTTTATGATGTTTGTTTTTTTTTTGTTAACTAAGCAGCTGTCAAATGGCCTTTTCAAAGGTTATTTTATTGCCAAAAGGACGGTTAAGCTCTCTGAATTTATCAGACTGATCTTCTTAATGATCAGAATGAAATATTTAACTTATTGATATTTTATTTCCAGATTCATAGAACGCATTGAGAACATGTACTGGCTGGATGGCGGTCACGCTGGTGGCAAGAACACCTGGATAACCTCCAGGAGCCTTCTGGAAACCCTCACTAGGCTGGGTAATGTGGATGCTTTTCTGATGTAACTAGACCGATAAAATAACAAGTAAAATAATCCAAGATATTCCAAATTATAATACAGCATACCATCGTATCTCTTAATCAAATTTTAAAATAAAGTAATGCTTTATCTTCTCTGTATACTTTTTTTTTTGTGAGTTGGCAAGCGAGCTGGCGATTCACCTGATGTTAAGTAATAACCGCCGCCCATGAACATTTGCAGATGCATTGCCACCTTCTAATAAAATGCGCCCCGGCCACCACACTCACCAGACGAAACGCAGAAGTGTAACACTTCTACTTTACGCCGGTCTTCTGTGAGGTCGTGGTACTACTTGGACGGGCCTGCCCATTCTTGCAACAGCCGAAGCTGTTGCGTGGCCCTACTACAATTAAAACTAACTTACAAATAGGTATTCCAAAAGCAGAATTGCAATGGTAGCGATTGACACCGCTGCCGTTGACGTTCAGGAAAATCAAGATGGCGCTGCTATCGATGGACGCACTAAAACAAAATATATATCGTGTAACGTTCATGTCGGTGTCGTTCACATTTTCGGAGTGCGATTATTTGAGAGAACTTAGATTTGATTCGGGCGACTATCGCCATCTTTGTTCCACCGGGTATTGCGGTATCTATCTTCCGTCAAGACACAACATTACCAGCCACTCGTCGACCACGATTGCCTATACTATTAATCTATGGTTATAGTCTAAACTCTATAGTTACAGCGCCATCTATTGATGCAATAGCCCCTTTACCAGCTTAAGTGTTCAAGTTCAGCTTAAATCTTAAACGCGGGCACTGTTTGCGTAAAAGTAACAGCCTATGCATGTCCCACTGCTGGGCAAAGGCCTCCTCTATACAGAGGGTATCAGGGCATAGTCTACCACGCGGCCCCACTGCGGCATGGCGGACTTCAAATATTTTTGAAATGCATTTTTTTTGTTATTATTTCGAAAATATGCAGGTTTCCTCACGATGTTTTCCTTCACGTGATAATTCAGCACTTAAAGTTACAAACTTCATTGGTGCCGGCACCGGGGATCGAACACAGGTTGCTCGAGTATATATTGAATTAAAGGCGAGCGCCCGGACACTGAGCTATCACGGCTCTTTCGGCCACGGCTGTGTACGTGCCTATAATAAATAGAAGCCTATTGTTTATGTCGTGAAGTCATAGCTTTTGTTTTTAACCAGACATTGGTGTCCACGTGCACGTCAGCCCGTACCAGGTGCAGGACGAAGGCAGACCCTGGATCGGCCGGGAGGAGCGCACCTTCACCGCGCTTCTGAAGAAACTGGGCGCTAGGGTAATACCACTTTTACTATTTTTTTTTTTTATTTTTTTTGACACATTCTTACACAGCATTTTCTAGTCCCAAACTAAGCAACGCTTGTACTGTGGGTACTAGAAAACTGATAAACATACTTAAACATACTTTTCTTTTGTAAATAAATACATATTATAGATATATAAACACGCAGACACTAGAAAAACACTATGTTCATCACACAATATTTTTCCAGTAGTGGGGATCGAACCCACACCCTCTGGCGCAGGAGGCAGGTACACTAACCTCTACGCCATTCAGGTCGTCACTATGAACACGAATCATTTTTACCAATAACTAGCGACCCGCCCCGGCTTCACGCGGGTGCAATGTATTAACACATATAAACCTTCCTCTTGAATCACTCTATCTAAATTCGTAATTACTCTATCGTAATAAAAACCGCATCAAGATCCGTTGCGTAGTTTTAAATATCTAAGCATACATAGGGACAGACAGACAGCGGGATGACTTTGTTTTATACTATCTAGTGAGAACAGGCTATAAATGTCCCTCCTCTGTACAGGTATTTTTGGAGGGTACTTGGGCATAGTCCACCACGCGGCTCCACTGCGGATTGGGGGACTTCACATACCTACCTTCGAAGTATTTTTTTCGTTGTCATTTCGAAAATATTCAAGTTACCTCACGATGCTCGAGTATATTGAATTTAAAGCAAGCTGTCTGAACAGGTGGCAAACGAGCTGGCAGTTCACCACATACCACATGTTAAGTGATAACAGCCACCCATTGCCATTTTTAACACCCTTAGGGTTGCACATGCGTTGCCACCATTTAATAAAGTGGGCCCCGGCTACCTCACTCACCAGACGAAACGCAGAAGTATAACAGGTCCACTAGACTACTAGAGCAATTAGTACTTTCTATCGCAGAAGTAAAAATAACTTCTAGCAGAAGCTCTGATGGGTACGCCTTTCCCAGGTGACGCGCTGTTTGCACGAGCAGCCCGGCGTTCCACAATCCCTGCAGATGCACTTCGACGTTCTGACGAGTTTCGCAGACCCCAATCGCCCCCGAAGTCCCCCGAGCCCAAATAGCCCCCCCAGCCCTAATAGCCCCCCAAACCCAAAAAGCCCACCCCCAGCATCGGACTCAGATGACCCCTAACCATTTAACATACACTGTATGGTACAGTAAGATTATTTATTTTGTATGCTTAAGAATATTGTTTATCACGATGCAAAATTGTACAAATAGTACTTGTTTTATAATTAGTGTTGTAAATATATCACTGATGTAATGACATTATTGTATTAGTTACAATTTGATCTCAACAATTGTTTATAAGGATTTTTCAGTAACTAATAAAGACTATTTTCAATGAATGTTGCATTATTTTAGAGTTATTGAATATTATGATAACTAAGTATACTCCATAAGTATATCTCCATACAATAAGGTAAATTGTTAAAACTTTGTGACAAAGTTTACCTAACCGCCATATAAATACAGTTATGGAGATGTTTATTGAAATTAAATTTCATTAGACTATTACTGCATTATCATTACCATTCGTTGGATTACTAAGTCTAAACAGGCTACACCAAGTATCTTCAAGCAAGGACAACTACCGATTTCTTCTCCAACACACTGAACAATTATAAAAGAAAAATCTAAAAATCTTAACCAACATTGGCATGACTGGTTGCTCATGTATACTGATGCATCTAAATTAACTAATCAAGGCTGTACTGGCTTTGCAGTGTGGATACCGAAGTACAGAATAATCCTCAATAACAAGTGCTACTCTTATACTTCAGTATTTACCGGCGAATCTCTGGCAATTCTAGAAGCAGTCCTCTACTCAGAATCTCATAATATAAGTAAAACCTTAGTCCTTTCCGATTCATTAAGTTGTCTACAAAATCTATTGTCAAACCCATTTCGTTCGATGTTTAGGAACCCGACTATTTTAAAAATCAGGGAGACTCTGTTAAAGTATCACCTAAAGGGGCTAAACCACAGAGTACTTTTGTATATAGGGAAAACGTAGTCCTTGCCTGGATCCCAGGACTTCGTGGAATTCAAGGCAATGAATGTGCAGACCAACTGGCTAAAGCAGCTTCAACTTCTAACTCTCTTTCCTTGCAACATACTTTTTTATGATTTGATACCATCAGCTAGTTCAGACCTCATGGCCTCATGGCGTAATCTCTGGTGCAAATGTTATTTCCGGCAAATATTATGCTCGTGCCCAAAAAGACATTCCCAAAAAACCCTGGTTCTTTCAGTATCGTAATGCAAGCAGACAAATTACATCAACCATTTGCCGCCTCCGCCTTGGACATAGCTGCACACCTGTTCACTTAGCCAAGCCTAGAATCAGGGATAACTCAATCTGTGAGTGTGGGCTGGACGAAGGATCTCCTGAAGATATATTTTTTGCTTGTCCCAAATTAACTTTCTCCTTATATGACTTCCTTCCTCCTAATATTTCGCGTCCTACTAACATGTTTGTCATATTATCCCTTGTTTTTACTCCATTTGTAAAAACATTGTGTGATTTTATCCATGTAAATAAAATAAAATGTTAATGTATTTAGATTTTGTGATGTGTGAATTTGTGACATGTAATCTTAAGGTGATGGGTTTTAAATGTAATGTGCAAATGTCTCTTTACTTTCAGCTTGGAAATCTCAATATAATCTCAAAATTCTATCTGATCTATAAGTATAAATATAAACGTCACTCCCTTGACTGACATGATATTGGCAGAATTCTTTTAAGAGAAGCCACTTATTAATTAAAGAAGAAAATTAAAGAAAGAAGAAGAAAATCTTAACGATGTTTTCGTTTATATTGGAAGAAAATTATGGTTTTCTTATCATTGTTTAAGCGATGGATCGTCTAATGCCAATTAGGGGGTGTTCTTGTAATGGTCGGTAGCGAGTAACATGGTGCTGTGCATGGCATAGTGAATGGAGAGACCGGTTATAAGTTATTGTGGGCGACAGATGGGATCGTTCAATCTAGTCTAATAGAAAGTATCGAAAAATAGTAATTCAATTCCACGGCAACAGATTTTTTTTAATGTGAAAAGCAAGCACGATTCACCTGATGTTAAGTGAATATCGCCGCCCATGGACATCTGCTACACCCGAGGGTTCCAGATGAGTTGTCCACCTTTTGAAAATTAGGCTCCGGCCACCTCACTCACTAGGCGAAACGCGAAAGTATTATATTTCCACTTGACGCCGGTCTTTTGTGAGGTCGTGGTACTTACCCGGACGAGCCTGCCCATTCGTGCAACAGCCGAGGCTGCCGCGTGTCTGCCTACCACCGAGAAACAATGATATATCAGTAACATAACTCTTTAAACACACCCTGGCTTACTTAATTTCTTACTGGTTAGTATTTTTAACTTCTCTCTAGTTGCACGTTCCTGGAACCCTTAAATAGAAGTTGTCGCGGAGGCGAATCAGTAATTATTAATTTTTTCTTCTTAATGGAAGAAGGTGGCAAGCGACCTTGTGGTTCAACTGTTAAGTGATAACGGTCGCCTATTGACATTTGCAACAACCGCAGAGTTGCAGATGATTTGCCACTTTTTTATAAAATTGGCCCCGGCACCTCACTCACCAGACGAAACGCATAAGTATAACACTTTCACTCCACGCCGGTCTATCTTATTTTGCCTATTTCCATATAATTTTTAATAGATACTCTAAGAATAAACTAATAGATAAAGTAACATTAAATTACTGCTTGTAAAAAAGCACAATTATCAATTAATAATTAATTAATTAAAAATATTAGATTCAATAAAAATCAAGCATTGTGAAAACATTTTATTGAGTAAAATCTATAGAACATATATTTCGAAAGCTCTCAACGATGGGAAAATAACATGTCGTTATTATTATAATCGTAAACCAAAAGAACCAGCGAGAAGACTGAACCACACACAGATGTAAAGCTTAAATCATAAAACATACATGCAACTTTGTACTGATCGATAAAGTAAATTATTCCTTACTCATGCACTGTCTTGGCAGATAACTTTAAGTAAGGTGACATTACAAATGACATAAAAACTAAGATATTCGGGTAATAAATACCTCTAGATGCTAGACATGGTCTGCATAAAACAAGATACTTATGTAATAATACCAAATTGACAGTAAAGTTTGTTATTATTAACTTAATGTAGTTTGTTACTACTTCTTAAAATAATTCATTGCCAGAATAACAAATATCAAAAGTAATTCGAAATTCATTATTTTTTTTAAAATCAACTAGAACTAAACCTATATTTTGGTGCAGAGATCTAAGAAGCGGTTTTTGTTGATGTTATATAAATGCTATAAGACAAACAACTACTTGTAAATAGTACATTAGCGATACAACTTTGGTTTATGTATAAACAATTTTGTGGAATGTTAACTTATTACAGATTCTTTCAGAATATTTAAGAAGTATACATAAATATAAAATAGTATGAATCTATGTAAAGTTCGTAAACATTCTGAATGAATGAATACATTGTGAGTGAATTCAAATCAAATAATCAATATAAAAAGCTTATACAGGAGAAGATCAACCCCAACTATGACAAGTGCACATTTTATTATTATTAGAAAGTATTATCACAAATACAATATTCAATACTCAATCATTGTCTTACGGCCGTTTTCAATAACGTATCTAAGATTACGGATAGATCGCTGCTATCCCCGATTATCTGTAAGAGCGTATCCACCTTATTTGCTTTTCACAATCAAGGATAAATATCATCTATCTCTTTCTATAACCAACGATACATTACTTTCCCCCTCGAACTTATCTAACGTTCTTCGACTAAACTACGAATCTATGACATAAGTTTATGTGAGATGATATAGAATAGAACGTATGAAACGGAAAAAGATAGCAGTCCATAAAATTAAACTTGTTATTTTCACTTAAGAAATCCGTCATTTTGTTGTTGACAACACGTTAAATGTAAGGCTAAAAATATTTATTTAATTCATTAATAATTATCGTTGTGCGGCCGCGAATGGCGACACGCAAGTACAAATTTACGAATTCACACACTTTTCCAAATGGTAACGTTGCATTATAAAAAAAATTGTTTTTAAAAATACCAAAAGTACTACACACAACAAGTGTACACTGACGTTTCTTCGTCTTTGGTTTAGCCACTGAAATGTAACCCTTATTGACAGCTGAAAAGACGTCACCGATTTGTCACCTGATCGGTGATTAATTGCGTCAAGCGCCTACGTCATGGCTGATTAAAAGTATATTTTCTAGCAAATAACGGCAGCTTAAGCGAAATAAAAAATACGTATATAAAGCTGAAACTATAAGGAATCAAAATATGTGTAAATTAAAGTACAACTATTAATCCAAAACAAAGAATTAAATATGAAAGTTGAGAATATTGGTTAAATTTCACGTAAATATTTTTTTAAACAAGTTTTTACAAATAAAATTGTATCAAATCTCATTTGATATTTATTCTTTACTAAACTAGACAATATAAGCTTTAATTTGATACCAAAAGTGTAAACATTCATTGTGTAAACTTTATACAATAAACATAAACATAGACCTTAGTGGGCAATACAAATCGTATCAGATATGTAAACTATATATTGGTACGATATCCGAATCGCTTACTGGCTCGTTCAAAATCTATGTATTTTACAATATCTGATATTTCCGAAATCTGATGTACCGAATACTCGCTCACTCGCTATACCAACACGAATCGCGATATCATACGCGTTTGCCACAATATCAGATTTTTAGACAAAAAGCGCGTGAGATACAAATATTCACTAGTTAGAGCAGTACGACAACAATATCAGATTTTTAAACAGATTTCGAGCGAAAAAGCGCGTGAGATACAAATATTACATTAGTTACATATTTTTGAAAAAAAAAATAAAAATAATTTAATAATTCCGTGCTGCATTGGTGGACGTCAGGCCAAGGCTTATGTGTCTTGTGTGTATATTTTAAATTCTTCCGCTCTAAACTATAATATTGAATCTAATATTTCTTACACAAAATATAAAAATATTGTCACTAATTTTTTTTTTATTAATTTTCGGTGGATTCGCGAACGTAAAATATCTAGATATTAAAATACATAGTTTCGAAATCTGATATTTGAAATCGAAATCTGATTCAGATACGGTTCTCAGAAAAAGCGATACGACCCATCTCTAGGTTTAATTATTACATTGTAACATCTTAAAACCTTCCGTTGTAAATCCAAAACAGTCTTGTCCACACTTAAAACATTTGACAGTTTGTACAAGAGATCCACGACACAAAAAACGACGAACGAAAAGTACTGTACAATCTAATTCAGAATTTACTGATATTTTATAAAAAGAATACAAGTTTAAATTACAATATGTACATAACATATCACTGCTAGTGGACGCACACATATTATCCGTCAATGCAAATACGATTAAGTAATAATATGTCATTTTAAAATGATGAGCGGTAAATAGTATCGGTTATAAATTTAACAAACAATTAGGCACAGAAAAAAATCTTATACAACCAATATCAATTTCGGAACAATTACAAATTTCATAAAATCTTTTTATTAAAAGCCCTTAACCTCACCGAGATGTATTAAGCTGATATAAATTAATTTCAACCTTATTTAACTCAAACTTTCAGGTTTTGTTCATTTTTGCATATTTTTATATATCAAGGAGCCTGTAATATTTTTTTTCATATTTCTTATGTTAACTGTCGACAGGTTATTGAAAAGAAAGTAAGGGCAAAATAACAGATTTTTATATCCATGCACTGGTTTCAATATTCTATCTACATACAGATTTGGTAACTGGGGATAGAATTTTAACATGTAATGTATAACATGTAATGTAATAACAACACAGTATTATGGTGCTAATGTTCAAAAACTAATCACCAGGAACAAAATCTACAGTTAGAGAATTGAAACTCGCCGTTAGCTACTGAAAAAAGGAATAGATATGTTATTGCAAACGGCCATTAGTTAAATTCAGTTATTGGAAAACATGTAGGCAATGTAACAGAAGGTTCACATGTTTTGGAACCTTCCATCCTTGTCTAACATGAGAATGTTGGGGTTTTCCTTCTCAAACTCCGTTGGTTTCCTGTCTCTCTGCTGGTCGGTCCACTCCCCTTCTCCTACACCCCACTCTCCCACTTTCTCACCAATGACATCTACTTCTGCTTTCGCTCTAATCTGCTCAATCTGTAATTAGAAAATAGGACTTCTTAAAAACAAACACTACGGAAACAACTCTGATGATTACTATTTATTAATTGTGAAGGTGGCAAGCGCAGTTTGGGTTCACACATTTGTAACACCTGTTGCAGATGCATTGCCTGCCACCTTTTCATAAAACGAGCCCCGGCTACCTTACTCTCCAGACGAAACGAAACGCAGAAGTATAACACTTCCACTTCAGGGCGGTCTTCTGTGATGTCGTCGGACTTACCCGGCCGTACCTGCCCATTCGTGCAACAGCGATGACGCTCCGTGTCTCCACCACAGTAGAACCAAGTACACAATGATTTTCAATAAAAAACCACACACAAACTTCTTATATCTTCTGTTAATTTTAAAAGTTGTAGAAACAAATGGACGAAAATATTTTCTTGCAATATTTTTTTGCTGTTAAAACATGAATGGTTTTAATTTTTATAGCGCGTCTGTAATACGAATCGATGTAATACGGTCATGTATCCCAATGGACGAAGATTTAAATCCTAGTATCATTAATTTCTAAGCGCACTGTAAAAAACCGGCCAATTGGGATTTGTCAACTGTTAAAGGGTCAAAAACATATGGGAACACCCCACTTAAATATATTTTTTATTATGTTTTTATGGATGGATGGACGGACGGACAGACAGCAGAGTCTTAGTAATAGGGTCCCGTTTTCCCTTTGGGTAAGTAAAAAGTAAAGTAACAACCTATACATGTCCCACTGCTGGGCAAAGGCCTCCTCTATACAGAGGGTATCAGGACATAGTCCACCACGCGGCCTATTTTTTTTGTTATTATTTCGAAAATATGCAGGTTTCCTCACGATGTTTTCCTTCACCGCGGAGCACGTGATAAGACAGCACTTAAAGTTAAAAACGTCAATGGTGCCGGCACCGGGCATCGAACTCAGGTTGCTCGAGTATATTGAATTAAAGGCGAGCGCCCGGACACTGAGCTATCACGGCTCCTTTTGAGTGCGGAACACTAAAAATGGATATAATTTAAATCTTCCATCAATATCCGATATGACATTTTTTGTCAGTGTTGTCTGTAACAATTGTATCGACTATCATTTCCCCTTCTGCAATAAACTGTTAGCAGATATACTAATGATACAGTGGGTACGTTATTGTGCGATTCTGCGAACCTGTTACCTCCGAGTCGTGTTTGGCGAACTTGTCGAACATGTTTGCGTACAGCTGCTTCTCCTTCTGTTTCTGCTTCTGTATCGTCGCACGGCACACGATGATCTGGTTGGCCGCAGCCTGCGATAGAAGAAAGCCATGTTGTACTTACACAAGTTGTGGGGGCGCTAGGTATACAAATATAGTTTGAAATTTGCGCTACGATAATTTGTTGTATTTGCATATTGTGTGGAGGAGGATGGGTTAGTGAGTCCAAACGACCATTACAACCTAGAAAGAATAATATAAGATCTATTGTCGTCTCACCTTCACTGACCCCTTACTATAGGATCACATTATCCTGCATTATAAGGACATTCTATAAACATAAATTACACATCACAAATATTTATCTCGTGTTAGAATCGAGTCCACGACCCCCGCCGTCGAAGCTTTATACCTCCAACCATCAGGTTGTAACTGTTTTCTATTTCATTTTATAAATATTTACAAATTATGTTTTCCTTTTCACTACTAAACTTTCACATCATTCCACATCTTTCATGTTTAAGTTTGACTTAGCTTGATTGATGTACGCTGCAGTGTCGTCTTGAGTGTTTGGTGTATCCACATACCTTATTCTGTGGCTCGGCATCCACAATCTTCTGGAAATCTTGCATGGCTTGCTCTGCTTCGCCTAGGCCCAGAAGCGCTTGGCCCCTTCTGAAGAGACCCTTAACATTGCCAGGATCGAACTGAAGCGCCTTGGCAGCGTGATCCTTCGCCTCAAAGTAGTGAACCGGTGTCACCTTCAGGTAAACCAGTGCCAGATTCAGATGAGCCGAGATCAACAGCTCTTTAGCTTTCGTTTTGTTCTCTTCTGTCTGTGTCTTGTCTTCCACCATATCTGGAAGAAGATTGTGAATAGATGTTATATTTTTACTGTTGGATGGTTTTCTTTACTGTATACTTTATTTTACAGTAATTATGATTTACTGCAAGAGCTTAAAACAAAGCAAAGTAACAGCCTGTATCCCACTGCGTGGCAAATACCTTCTCTGTACGTATGCCACACCCCTGTAATAAATACCCTATGGTATTACAAGAGTGTGACATAGTCCACCACGCGATCTCACGGCGGATTAGCAGATTTCACATAATATTTTCTAGTTATTTAAAAACATGAAGTTTTCCTGATTTCCTCACGATGTTCCTTCGGCATTCTTCCATATAATAGCAAAACTACTCTGCGAATTTTACCATGCTTATTTATTTACTACAATTGCCACGTTTGGATTGAGATCAAATTCAAGATTTCTTTATTCAATACAGGCTCGTTTTAAGCTCTTACTGAACGTCAAAAAAACGAATTTTATTTTATGTCCTAACAAGTCCAAGAAGTCAAAATGTTGGCGTGCCAAGAATTTCCGTGAAATTAGTTGTACAACCGATTTTTCGCCACAACTGAAACATTTTGGGCCGAAACTGAAACTACGGCCGGAAACAAATACAGGGTGGCTTTTCTAAAGGTGCCCAAATTCACACAGGAGGTTCTGACTCGGCAATATAATCGTTTATTGAAAGGAAAACAAACTTTTTTTTTTGAAAAAAAATTGCTATTCTATTCCTTAAAGAACAGAACTTGTTGATAATGCGGTAGTCATTCATAAATGCGTCGAATACTTTTGAAACGAACTTGTGTGCATGTAAGTTTATAAGTGATCGCGCGTAAAATAAATGAGTTGTCCATAAATCACGCACTTTTTGAGATAAGTTCAAATTAATGTAATTAATTAATTAGGAGTGATTTTAAATATTTATCATTTTTTATATAACATTATTTATGTCTAGAATTTAATTAAAAAAAAGGATACACTGAGAAAAGCCCACCAGTACATTGTAGAGAATTATAATTTATAACAAATCAAACCTCACCTTCAGTCAAACTTGTAACTCTCTTGTACATTTTAATTGACAACTGGAATTTGCTGCTTTTAAAGTAATTCGTGCCTTTCTCTTTGAATATCTGCGCTTGCTCCAACTTTTCTGATCCATCCATTGCCCATGTCTCCTTAGCCTTTTCGAAGTTCACTAGTTTTACCGTATACTCCAGAGTGGCGTCTGGGGGCACGCCAAGTTCCGAGCTGCCCTCCGACTTGAACCCATACTTTGGGGCAATGGTCAGCCTAGACTTTTCGCCTTTCGTGAACTTCTCCAGGGCTCTTTCTATGCCTTCGCAGATGTTGTGCTCACTGCCCTCGCCAAGTGAGAATGTTACCGTTCTAGTGTCGAAAATTTTACCGTCCGCCTTCAATCTGCCCTCAAGTTCAACTGCAAACAAAAATTAAAATCATTTTTTTAATTCAATGAAACAGAACTCAGAATCAGGTCAGTTATTATACAGTTTCTAGTTTTTTTTAAGTTCCTTAATTTTCGTCATAGTTCAAACTAGCGGACACAGTAGTGCTAAGATTCTAGGCGGCCTAGGGGGCCTATCAATACTAATTTCACATAGTTATTTTTTAAATTACTTAAGTAACACTACACATGGATAAATAAAATTATTTTACGGGTTTTATTTTAATTTAAAATTTCCGACGTCTCGTACCCTTTACAGTGTTCATAAAGTTTGCTTGTGTTCATTAAGTGTTCATAAAGTTTCATTGCCAATATTCCGTATACAACTTTAATACATATTATATAACTCACCTGTAACAAGGGCTCCATCATTAGGACTTCCAAAGCCCGAACCCTGCTCCAGGGTGTTGCGCAAAATACCCTTCCTCTTTCCAGGGCTGAGGTCATCCAATTCCCAATCAATCATTTCAATCTAAAAAAACAAGCAACTTAATACAATTACATAATAGCCACCATTAATGCTTTGAAGTCCTTAAAATTTTTAGAAAAAGTGCGAAAAGATTGTCGCCGCTGTGGGAATCTAAGAAGTCCTTTAGCCAGGGTTATTTGGCCTCAGGAATTTTGCGGTGCCTAGAAGTGCTTCATTTCGTAATTGAACTGTTTGCATCCTTTCATATAGCAAATATATGTCCTATATCTAGTTGCAGTCTACCACGGAATGCATTGCGGATTGGTATGATGAAATTTTTTATTAATTCAAATATATGCAGGTTTCCTTATGTTTTCCTTTTCTAATGAGCATGTGTTAAGTCAGCACATAAAATTACAATGATCAGTTTTCATTTTTCATACAATTTTAGTAATATGTATTTGATTCCAATCCCATTACTCAGTGTTAATAACATAAAATAATGAAAATAAAAAAGGACTGACAAAATCATATATTACTAAAATTGGACACATTAAAAATTCATATTGAAAATATTTTTATTCAAATAGACGCTTGCGTGTTTTTATGAAACATCGAGTTTTATACAGCGTGTCGTTACCACCGCGACAATAAATGAACACACATATAGAGGATAACTTTTTAAAATTGTATTAAACATTTACATTCTTCAGTCATCAATATTTACCGAGTTATTAAATTTTCCAAAACTAACAATTTTAGAACACCCTTACGTATAAAACTGTAACGTAAAGCTCATTTGTAAAGGTCTCAAAGCATATGAATGGGTTGAATGATTTTAAAAGAGACAAAACATACTGTTAGAAGGAGAGGCTTATAATGTGACGGTGTGGTGCGAGTTGTATAAGATGTTACAAATTTTGATTCTTTTTTACTTAATTAGTTTGTTTGAAAAATATTTTTTTTTAATTATGGATTTTGTTTAACGTTAATATTTTTTTATGATTATTGGCAAGTAGCGTTAGACGTGTGTTCATTTATCGTCGCGATGGTAACGACACGCTGTATTATATTAAATTGTAATATATTCATAAGTTCTTAAGTAAGTTACCGCCAGTTCGGAAGGCAAATTCTATTGAGAAGAAATGGTCAAGTGTTGACCATTTGTTGGTTGACCTGTTGTTGGTCAGGTGTTGTCCCTTGTTTATATTTAAGAAATAATCGAAATAATAATGAAATTGTAAATGTATAGTTGATGAAAGTTCCCTTACTTTGTACATTATTTAATTGTTTGAATAACTGACAATAAAGCTTTAATTTAAATGAAATGTACCTAATAAATATATATATTTATGTATGTGGAAGGCACAAATTGTTTGAATAATTTCCATTTAGTAATTGTTGATTATGCATTAATGATACATACTTCAAATTGGAGTGTGGAGTTTGCTGGAATTTTGGGGCTATCTTTGTCACCATAGGCATATTCGGGGGCGCATGTGAGCACACACACCTCCCCCTTCTTCATTGTGGCCACACCAATGTCCCATGCCTTGATTACCTGCCCTAAAATAATATGGTTTTTATTACTCACAATAGTATTAATAATCCACACAAATTTTAAATGAGACTGCAGTTCATCAAGTCACTGTGGCTATTGGCATTGACATAGAATTGAATAAATAATATTATTTTTTTTAGAAAACATATTATTATTATTATAAATTAATATAACAATTATGATATATTTTTTTATACTACATACTATTATAATATGTACTTGAAACATGTATCTTTTAACTTGTGTAATAGGTAATGTTAAAAAACTAGGCCATGGATGCAGATTATTATTCATCATCATCATCATTTCAGCCTGTTTGAGTCCACTGCTGAACATAGGCCTCCCCCATAGACTGCCACGAAGTACGATCCTGAGCCACCTGCATCCATCGACTTCCCGCACATTTGCACAGGTCGTCACTCCATCTAGTGGGGGGTCGTCCCACACTGCGATGGCCAGTACGAGGCTGCCACTCGAGAACCTTTCTTCCCCAACGGTTATCGGTTCTACGAGCTATATGGCCGGCCCATCGCCACTTCAGCTTGCTAATCCTCTGAGCTATGTCGGTTACCTTGGTTCTACTGCGGATGTCTTCGTTACGAACTCTATCACGCAGAGAAATACCGAGCATAGCCCGCTCCATAGCTCGCTGAGCGACTTTGAGCTTCCTCATACGGCCAGCAGTGAAGGGCCAAGTCTCGGTTCCGTAGGTCATCACTGCCAAGACACATTGATTGAAGACTTTAGTCTTCAAACATTGAGGTATATTCGACGAGAAGATTTGCCGAAGTTTCCCGAACGCTGCCCATCCGAGTTGGATTCGCCGATTGACCTCTGCGTCGAAGTTGGACTTACCTAGCCGGACTAACTGTCCTAGGTAAACATACTCGTCAACAACTTCGAGCTCAGTGCTCCCAACGACAACCGGTATAAGCGTGACATGGACATTAGACATGATCTTCGTCTTGTCCATGTTCATCTTAAGGCCCACCCGTTGGGAGACACTGTTGAGGTCATTGAGCATAGCACCCAGGTCCTCCAGCGATTCTGCCATGATGACTATATCGTCGGCAAATCGAAGGTGGGTGATGTATTCGCCATTGATGTTAATACCTCGTCCTTTCCAGTCCAGAAGCTTGAAAACATCTTCCAAAGCAGCGGTGAAGAGTTTCGGGGATATGACATCACCCTGTCTTACACCCTTCTGCAGATGGATAGGTTTTGTACTACTGGACTGTACTTGGACGGACATCGTAGCCTTGTTATGCAAACACCTCAGCACTTCGATATACCGACAGTCAATTTGGCACCGCTGAAGAGCCTGGAGTACCGCCCAAATTTCGACAGAATCGAAGGCTTTCTCATAGTCCACATACGCTAGGCACAAAGGCAGATTATACTCTTCGGTCTTCTGTATAACCTGCCGCAAGGTGTGTATGTGGTCTATGGTACTGAAACTTTTCCGGAATCCGGCTTGTTCGGGAGGCTGGAAGTCGTCGAGGCTGGAAGTCGTCGAGTCTGGAAGTGAGACGATTCAAGATGACTCTTGAGAACAGCAAATAGACGCGGCTCAGAAGGGATATCGGTCTATAGTTCTTCAAGAGAGCGTTATCGCCTTTCTTGAAGAACAGCACCACCACACTTCTGCTCCACGCCTCTGGTGTAGCACCACCCTGAAGGACGAAATTAAAGAGCCTCTGAAGGACTACAAGTACCGGTTCTCCACCCGCTTTCAGAAGCTCTGCTGTAACTCCGTCCTCTCCCGATGCTTTGCCATTCTTAAGATGGTCGAGAGCCATTCTAATCTCGCTCAGACTGACGTCCGGGATATTCTCGGAATAGTGTCGGATAAGCTTTGCTCTTGGGTCGTAACTCACACATGTGTGTGGCTCCAACGACGATGTGTACAGCTGTCCATAGAACCTCTCAATCTCACTCAAAACCTCTGGTCTACTGGAGATGACAGCCCCGCTGTCAGTCTTCAACTTGGTCAGTTGGCTTTGTCCGATAGACAGATCTCTGGCGAAGACTTTTGAGCCTAGGTTCCGCTCTATAGCTCCCTCAATACGAGCTGTATTGAAGATGCGTAAGTCTCGCCGCATGCATTTGGAGATCTGCCTATTAAGCCGCCTGTAGTCTGACATGTCAGCTAAAGACTGCAGTCGCATCTCACGTCTTTTTCCCAAGAGGTTGAGAGTGTGATCGGAAGAGTTTTTGCGTTCTATTTGTGCGGCGGGCCTTATAAAATTTAAGGCCCACGGCATGGACAGTTTCCACGAGCTTAGCGTTAATATCGTCCACAGTGTTGCAATTTTCTAGGCATTGGAAGCGATTATGTAGCTCGAGCCGAAAGCTTTCGGAGTTCTGGATATGGGCACGAGATGGTCGGAGTGTGGACTTCATTAGACGAGATCTTTCCAGTCTGATATTAATATTCAATGTGCCTCTCACAAATCGGTGATCACTGCCGGTCTTCACCCTTGTGATCACAGAGACATCATTGAATATTTGCCATTTGTTCGTCATAATGAAGTCTATCTCGTTTTTTACAGAACCATAAAGAGTCCCTCCTTCTCCATAAAGTCAGCCAGCTGCTGCCCCCTTGGGTTCCGTTGCCCTATACCAAAACTTCCTACTCTCAGCTCATCGTCTTTCCTTTTGCCCAGTTTTGCGTTGAAGTCTCCCATTAACACCATGTATTGAGTTTTGGAGGAATGTATGGCTCGTGATATATCCTCATACATTGCCTCCACCTCATCATCGGGATGTGTCAACGTTGGGGCGTAGACCTGTATGACCTTCAGTGAATACCGTTTGGATATTCTGAGTATAAGGTACGCAACCCTCGACGACACACCCTCGATTTTAACAACGTTGTTAATGAGAGACTTGTGGACGATAAATCCGACACCACCTTGGGACAGTTGGTCGCCCTCCCGGTGGTAAAACAGGTTGCCGGATTCGAGGATTATCGTGTCCTCCCCCTGTCTTCGGACTTCAGATAATCCTATTATATCCCAGCGCAGCCTGTTCACCTCTTCTTCCAGCTCTGTAATCTTCTCGTCAGTCCTCAATGTTCTTGCGTTGTATGTTGCCAGGTCCAGTCGCCGTCGTTGGTAGCCGAATCCTAGCCGGGGATTCTTAGCACCCCCTGCCCTGCCGTTACCATGACCGCTACCGTAGCCAGGAATAGCAGGGCCGCTGGGGACTGGGGGCCGTACACCTTGGACTTCCATACATGAGGGGTTTTTGCCATAGTTGCCACGCTTGGCGAGCGGGTTGGCAACCGCAGTTCTTCCAGACACCTCGCACCTTCAACGCTGCTGCCCGTTATTGGCCTGGATATTTGGGTCTGGAGAATTAAGATGGTTATCCCGCCATCTATCGGAGAACACTGGATGTTTGTGGCTTATCCCTTAGTCGCCTCTTACGACACCCACGGGATGAGATGGGGTGGCTTATTCTTACGCCGACACCACACGGCACGGATTATTATTAAAATTACGAATTATAAAAATTACGAAATATTAGATGCAATATTTATTGTGTCATCAGAGAGCAGTAAAAAGTATTTTGATTGATTTTTGAATTAATTTCTACAACAAAATAAATAGATATTCTTTGGTTTTACCACAAGAGATAAAGAGATAGACCGGCATGAAACATTTTCCCACAATTGTGAGCAGACATTGTGGTAAACTTGTTAGGTTTAATTTTGATAAGGAAGAATGTTATTGGGCAATGGTAGGTCAAATAAATAAAAAATAATTTGGAAACCATCAAGTTACATGAACCAAAGTAAAATGTTCTTAGATTGAATTCAAATGAATAAATTAGCATTATATAAAAATGTTTGTTTTTTTTAATAACTTCTTAAAAATAAAAAATAAATTTTTGGTCCCTCAAATATTAAAAATAGAGCAATGTATTATAGCTCATGATCCTATTACCACATGATAATTATGTTTTATGTGTATTAATTTTCTTAAACAAAAATTAATAATAGTTAATAATGAAAAATTGAGCAAACTATAAATATATGTAATCAGCTATGTATTGAAGATATTGTGTAGAAAAATAAAGTAGAAAATAAAATTGAAGTATACAATACTTAAAACTAAAAAAGCACCTGCAAAATGTTTCACAGCTTAGACAATGGTAATTTACCATTGAACTAATGCTCTTTTGAATAAAATTAAGGACAAGATTAAGACATATCAATGAATGTTTTACACAATTACAGTGTCAATTTTTTTTTAAATTGTCATGATATTTACACAATTACAATAGCTTATGACTATAGAAGACAAATGGAAAAAAGTCTGCATTTCTCAATATACAGCGTGTCGTTACCATCGCGACAATAAATGAACACACGTCTAAAGCTACTTGCCAATAATCATAAAAAAATATTAACGTTAAACAAAATCAATAATTAAAAAAAAATATTTTTCAAACAAACTATTTAAGTAAAAAAGAAACGTTTTAACAAAGAAAATTTGTAACATCCTATACAACTCGCGCCACAGCGTCGCATTAAAAGCCTCTCCTTCTAACAGTATGTTTTGTCTCCTTTAAACTCATTCAACCCATTCCTATGCTTTGTGACCTTTACAAATGAACTTTACGTTACAGTTTTATACGTAAGGGTGTTCTAAAATTGTTTGTTTTGGAAAATTTAATAACTCGGTAAATATTGATGTTTGAAGAATGTAAGTGTTTAATACAATTTTAAAAAGTTATCCTCTACATGTGTGTTCATTTATTGTCGTGGTGGTAACGACACGCTGTATATAAAAGGCAAATTAAAAAAAATGTGCAACTTTGGTCCTATATACTGCTATAAGCTTTATATACTGTTAGTTGCTTATTTAAGTAAACAGTCTATGTAAAAGGCAATCATTTGCTATGGCAAGATATAACTACAGGCTCATACTATCTAAGTAATGTAATGTCTAAGTCTGAACAAGAGAAACAAATAGTTGTGCTGAATGGAGGAAAATTGAAGAGGCAAAAAAGGAATCTTAACAACAATGAAGACATTTCTTGGAAGCCACATAACTGTTATAATTATGGCTTCCTTAACTGATTACTTTACGTCTCTAGGCCTTAATTAGTATTGGTTAAGGGGATGTGGTGATTGGTTACCAATATCTGTATTGTATTCAAAAAATAGCCAAGTTACTAGAAGTTGTACAACATGTATTACTCATGTACAATGAATAATAATACATTATCTCTTAAGAAAATTGCTAGTGGCTTGATCATACTTAAAAAATTGGCCATGCACCTGGCCAAATGGACAAAGCACAAGATGGGTTCCTCACTATTCTTATACTATCTTTGAAAATGGCAAAAAAATCATTTATATAGGCCTCTTAGATATTTGTTATTGTTTTTTAGTATTTGTTGTAAGAGAGATGACAGAAATACGTCATCAGTGAAAATTTCAACTGTCTATCACTATTCATGAGATACAGCCTGGTGACGGATAATTTACCCTTTGGGTATGTAACCCTAAAATGTGACACACAATGTAACAAGTGGGATGAGTTATCTACTTGTAATATCTAAAACAAGAATAATTATCTTAGCAAATAGATATTTTAATATATATATGGATAGATCTTTAGTTTTATTTCTTTGCTCTATTTTTACATTTTTCAGTAGGCAAACTAAATGGTATTTGGCTAGATACTTTTATTTACTTACCTTACATGCAATAATAACTTCTAAACTCCACTGTAAATTTAATGCAATATGTAATACATATTTTTTTTTTTATAAATGAAAAAATGCTTTTACATAATTACCATTTTGATATTATTCTTATACTATTTTAGACGACCGGGTTATCATATAATTACCCATAGCAATTACGTATCAAGCTAACGAGTAAAGGTACTTATTAGTTATAGATACTTAGGTCAATGATAGTCACGGCAACAATTTTGAAGACGACACGCACCTTTGCCAAGTAGAAACTGGAATGGCTCGTTTCTGTCTCTGCTGGAATCGAATTTTGTGCCGTCCAAAAGGGTGCCTGTATAATGTACCGTAACTTGACAACCAGGATTTGGATGGTCATCTCCTTCTCCTTCTTTGATAATCTTCTTTAAAACGCCGCGATCGCCCTCTTTCGAAATATCGATCCCTTCTTCTACAGTCATATTTAATACAATATTTCAATTAAACAAATAACTGCTATAATCTATCCTCACAATGTATTGAAGAGTCAATAAGCAGAATTAAAATTATAAAAAGAAATAAATGTACTGAGCCGGTATCCAACGTGCAATTGGAAAGAAAATGAAATCACAAAATCACAGATTCACAGCACAGACACAGAATATATATTTATAATCGAACACAGTAGAAATTTCTAGACGGTACGTTCGGAAATGCGATGTATTTATTTTTTAAGGCTCTAACTAAAACTATAATAAAGTACACTTTAATAAATTTAATGCTTTAAATATAAATAGAGAATGTTAGAAAATAAATTTAATTATTTAAAACATACATTTTTAAGATGCAATGCAACAGTTTCAAGTTGAGCCGTTGTTAATTCGCCAATGCGATATGTAATCTATCAATCAAGTGCAAATTAAATTAAGACGATTATTGAAATTTTCTTGATGATCGTCAATCAACTTAGGTGACATATAGGATATTTTCCACAGAACAATAATACTCTCACTCTCTGCTATTTTCGCACTGGCCGGGCCATTTCAAATGATTAGAGATTTTCTTTCCTTATTTGCTTTTAATCGTTTTCCTTTTTCAGTCAGTACCGGTTTGCACTTGAGCAGCGTCTTTGCAAGATCGACCCATATTTCATAATACCTTAGTTAACTAGAACTAAACTAAAAATAAAAAGTTTATTAACAAAAAAATAACCGTTTTTTATTGTTTTAACCGAATTGTTTATTAAAACGCGAAAAAACAATGCAGATAATATCATAAGTTGATAAAGTGTCTGGGAATCAAGAAGACGTGGGGGTTTGATTCCCGCGGGGGCGAAAAACTTTTCGTTAATTTTTCTGAAATTTTAATGTTTCATCTTAAATGCAATGATTAGCACTATAAAAAATTATCATAAACATTTAAAGTTTAGGAAACTACATTTCGGTAAATTTATTTTCTTTTTATTCAAAAAAGATGTTTGCCAGAGCAAGTAATTGATCACGAGTAGATTGCAATTTGAATGAAGTGAATTGATTGACCAGGTTCTTAATAAGAGACAATTCTTTTTAATTAAACATTTTCAGTCTTATGTAAATACTTAACCACCAGAATGGTCTAGGAATACATGGTTTTCATGGAAAATATTCCAATATTAAAAGCTTTTATTTATAAGTTTATAATCCAATACTAAAAGCACAATTTTGCATATCTAGTTACTGAATAACAAAAACATGAGTGTTAACAATATGCATTTTATAAAACAAGAATGTGTGTTGATGATTTTATATTTTGAGGGTCTAAACAACATCAGAATACATAAAAAAAGTTATTGACATATATTAGGACATTCTGAAACATAAAATCTATAATTTTTCAATGATGCTTGGCTGACAAGTTTCTTAGCTGGCTCATGAAGCCATTCATCTGATCCATCGCAGCAGTCACAAATTCCATCATTCACTTTACTTGATGGTATAGTATTAAGTTTTATAGGTTTCTTATTGTACTGGTATTGACAGTAAAAAGTGCCATTTGGGCAAGCATTAGTGCTGGGCTCATCTGTTCCATCATCACAATCACAGTAATCATCATTCACTCTGTCAAATGGTACAAGACTTTTTGAACTTCTGCATTCAAATTCATTTTTAGAATTTGGTCGGTAAAATTGCATATGTAAGTAGTATACTCCTCGTAGTAATCCATTCTCGTTGATAAATTTGTCGTCCTCCGATCTTAAATGAACAACGTCTTTTATTTTTTGGTGATCTAACACTGGAATGATTCTATTACCATTACCGGTCTCTGATGTTATTGTCAAAAAAAAGTATAGTTGGTACAATATGAATGATACTACCACACAGAGAGACAATATGATGACGTTTTTCTTTTTCTTTAAAGCCATAATTTTCATTATTTATAACCTCGTGGCTTTAGTTCGTGTCCTTAATTTCACAATACAAAACACTTTAAAAAGTTTCATTTTTGCACATAATACAGCTCATTATGTTATCATTGTTTTATAAGTAAAGCACCCTACACTTAGCATTTATGAAAAAATAAAACATTTACAATATTTAAGTCACAATAATAAATTACGTCAAACCTCAAAAGTGGTTCTGGTTATTATTACCGGATAAATTGACAGATTTACCGAGTGACTCGAGTGAGTAAATTCATATTACAGATTCAGAGTACCATCAGAGTACTGTTGTATATAGGGAATAGTAATAATATAATATAATATAATGTAATATAATATTTTGGGAGCCGGCAGGAGGGAATAATTAAGATGCAGTACAAAGAACAAGCCGTGTTGAGAAAACCATCATCTTTTATTGTCACTCGTTGCTAGAGAAATTTGTCAATAATAGGGTAATGCTAGACCGATGAGAGTAAGGGTGTAAAAGATAAGAGCGGTGCTACACAGTAGCAAATGAGTCGCCACATCACCCCCCTACGGAGAAAAATAAGTACACATTGAAGGCAAAACAAGTATAAAATGTAACAATCAAATAATTATACACTGTTATTATAAAAGTACAAGCAACATTATTTAGGATAATTTTTAACTAATGGAATTTTAATTTATACAACGAAAAAAAAAAAAACATTGGAAACTTAAAATTGAAAAAACTCTGCTTTAACAAAAATAACGTATTAAAAACTAGTACTTATAAATCTAAAATATCTTTAAATTTAGCTTTGCGACCTGACCGGGTTGTTACAGGCTGTGCGGGCGTTTTAATGGGCTCGGCCGTTTGGCTAATAGGAGGTGAAAGAGTCGGAAGGACTGGGGGCTCCGGTGCCAAGTTGTTAGGGGACGGATTGCCGTCTGGGTCAGGTGCAATATACGCAGGTTTTGTTCTGTCGATGCTAACCTCAGATCTTCGGCCAGAAATGTCTAAGGTAAGTGTCTTTTCAGATCTCTTCAACACTCTGTAGGGGCCTGTATAAGGTGGCTGTAGAGGGCGTCGAACGGAATCTTCGCGGAGGAACACGTGAGTAGCATCAGGTAAGTCCTTGAAAACGAAAGTTTTAGAATTCGTGTGACGTGATGCTGGAACGGGGCGAAGTTCTGCCATCCGTTTTCGCAACTGTGCAACAAAATCATCGTCCACGGTCTGAGGGGAATTGCTAGCCACCAGGAACTCGCCTGGTAGGCGTAGCGGTTCCCCATACAAAACTTCTGCAGCTGACGTTTTGATGTCATTTTTTAGTGCCGCCCTGATTCCGAGAAGAACGAAAGGTAGGGCATGGTACCAAGAACTCTTGTGACACATTAAAGCGGCCTTTAAATGGCGGTGGAAACGCTCTATCATCCCATTAGCTTGGGGATGATAGCTCGTAGTACGAACGCGTTTTGTGGCTCCTAAATCCATCAGTCTGTTGAAAAGTTGGGACTCAAATTGACGTCCCTGGTCCGTTGTGACAGTGATCGGAACACCAAAGCGAGCGATCCAGCCATGGGTGAATTGATCAGCGACTTCTACTGCGGTTATCGACGACATGGGCCAAACTTCGGGCCAGCGTGAGAAACGGTCTACTGCTGTTAGGCAATAAGTGAATCCGTTTGAAGAAGGCATCGGTCCAATAATGTCCAGGTGAACATGACGGAATCTGCCTGAAGGTGTGCTAATGTTGCCAAGCGATGAAACGACATGGCGCGTTACCTTGCTGCTCTGGCAGGCGAGACACTCGCGTGCCCAGCAGTCTTTAGCAATGCCTGGCCAAACATAGCGGTCGCTAATGAGGCGCGCGGAAGCGCGTGCGCCGGGGTGGCTGAGACCATGTAGGCGATCGAAGACGGCTCGCCGATATTGTTTTGGCAAAAACGGTCTAGGTTTGCCTGTTGACACATCACACAAAACGGAAATGTTGGATCCAGGTATGAGGGTTGGCTCTAACTGTAAAGAAGAATGGACCTTTACAGTTTTAAGTTCGTCGTCCGTCTGCTGAGCTTTTGCCAGGGCTGCGAAATCGTCATCGAGCGTGATAGCCTCAATGCGGGACATTGTGTCAGCAACGATGTTGTCTTCCCCCTTCACATGTTTGATATCAGTTGTAAACTGGGAAATAAACGTAAGTTGGTTAAGTTGAGCAGGGGGCAATTTTTCACGGCGTTGGACGAAAGCATAAAGAAGCGGCTTGTGGTCCGTGTAGATTGTCGCGTGTTGTGCCTCTAGTATATGCCGGAAATGCTGTACGGCCGCGTACACTGCGAGAAGTTCGCGGTAATACGCGGGCCATGTACTTTGGCTCTGTGTTAGCTTTTTGCTAAAGAATGCCAATGGCTGCCAGCCTTGATCAGACCTTTGCTGTAAGGCAGCGCCGACATGAGTGCTGGAGGCGTCCGTGTACAACCCTAAACGAGCATTTCGTTGCGGATGTACAAGCATGGTGGCCTCTGAGAGACTTTCGCGACACTCGTAGAGAGCACGCTCCAAGTCTGCCGTCCAGGGCACAGCTTTTGAACCTTTTAGGTTGCTAACTGTTAAAAAATTCACAAGTGGAGCTTGCAGCTTGGCGGCTTTGGGAAGAAATTGGCGGTAATAATTTACCATCCCCAGGAACCGTCTCAAACCTTGAGCTGTTTTGGGAAGCGATAACTCGAGGAGAGCAGCGATCTTCTCTTCAGGTGGGCAGATACCATCCTTGGTTATCTTATAACCTAGGAAGATTACCTCACATGTCCCCAATACGCACTTATCCACATTGACAACGACGCCATAGTCCACCAGTCTTTGCAGGATTATGCGCAGGTGTTTGGCGTGCTCTTCAGCATCCCGTAAGAATACCAAAATATCGTCAATGTAGGGAAAAAGCGAAGTCTAGTCCGCGCAAGATCTCATCGATGAAACGCTGGAAGGTTTGGCCAGCGTTGCGTAACCCAAATGACATATAGGGAAACTCGAAAAGACCAAATGGCGTTATTATGGCCGTTTTGCAAACATCTGGACCAGCTACCGGAATCTGCTGGTAGGCC